CTTGAAACTGGCGAGCTCGAACTCTTTTATTGTAAAATTTTGCAACACGACTTTGATGTGCCATGTTTCTTATTCGGGACATCTCCCTGATTTCTTCCACAAGGTCTAGGTTCTCTCTTAAGAGTTGTTCATTATTTTGATCGTCATGACGATCTGATCTATCGGATGGCATTCCGACCTCGATGGGGATGACGGCCTTAGCTCCGTATGCCAGGCTGAACGGGGTTTCGCCTGTGGCCGAACTGGGTGTAGTACGACATGACCACAGCACTTTATTCAGCTCGTCAACGCAATTAGTATGTGCAGTCAAAACACGCGTCTTGAGGCCCCGCAAGACGATTTTATTGGCAGACTCGGCTTGCCCATTGGACTGTGGAGTGTACACAGATGTCAAGGCGAGCTCAATTCCATAATCATTGTAGAACGACCTCAGCGCCGCGGCTCGAAACTGCGGACCATTATCAGCTATGATCCGTTTAGGTATGTCGAACCTGGAAACAGATGTCCGAGCTGAGCCACGAATTATAATTACATATAATGTGCCAATAGCTTAAGTCACCGAAAAATACCTGCATAGTATTGAATTAAACAGGAATTCTTCTATTTTCTTCTCTGTTGTCGCAGACAATGGTTTAGCTTCTATCCACTTGGTGAAATAATCCACCGCGACAACGAGGTAAGTACATCCTCCTTTGCCTTTCATGAAAGGGCCAAGCAGGTCGACTCCCTATTGAGCAAAGGGCCAAGGAGACGTAAGTGATGAGAGTATTTCTCCTGTTTTAACAAGGATACTTACGCTCAGTTCATAGACAGTCACTAAGTTTGCATAAACTTTAGAACAAGCTCAGATACCTGGCATGTGAATATCATCGGCATTGAACTGGCAGGTCGGGCACCTTTTGACATAGTTCTGTGCGTCCTCGATCATAGTGGGCCAATAATAACCGTGCCTCAGGAGTTTCCGAGCTAAAGTTCTGCCACCGATGTGCGTGCCACACACTCCCTCGTGAACTTCTCTCACGGCGTATTCAGCTTCATAAGGAGTAAGGCAGCGTAATAGGGGCATTGAGGCTGCTCGCTTGTAGAGCTGGTTATCTAACACAGTGAAATGTGCCGCCCTGCGTTTAATCAATTTTGCAGCGAACTGGTCTTCAGGTAGCTCGCCACTTTGTAGATAGTTTATGAGCGGGGTGGTCCAGCTCGATGTAGAGGGATCTGTGCTTAGCAGTTGACACTCGACTGTGAAATCAGTGTAGCTCGGTGCGTCGAGTACCTCGACAATTGTTGATCTCTAGGGGTTAATGTCCTGCGAGGAGGCCAACTTTGACAGCTCGTCAGCTCGGTGGTTATCTGCTCTTGGTATTTTATCAATTTGGAAAAGGGCAAATATCGACTTTAATTTGTTGACCACAGAGGCATAACGACTGAGCTGGGGATCCCTGATGTCGCAACTGCCATTCACCTGGCTCACAACGAGCTGAGAGTCGCTGAAGACCTGAATGCTTTGTACCTTCAGCTTGGACGCCAGCTTCAGTCCGTAAATGAGGGCTTCATATTCTGCAGCGTTATTGGTCGTTTGAAACTTAAACCTCAGTGCATGCTCAGACTTAAAGCCATCTGGGCCCAGTAACACAGCCCCAACACCTGATCCTTCGACATAGCTGCTCCATCTACATACAAAACCCAGACTGGATATTCAGGTGCCTTTTCTTCCTCTGTCGCCGAGATGCATTCTACCAGAAAGTCTGCAATGGCCTGGCCTTTATGGTTGTGCGCGGCTGAAATTTGAGATCGTATTCACTCAACTCGACGCTCCATCCAATAAGCCGACCAGAGAGTTCCGGTTTTTGCAGTATCTTCCTCAACGGCAGATCGGTATAGACAACGACCTGATGTGATTGGAAGTAAGATCTCAACTTACGAGCTGTGTACACCAGGGCAAAAGCAGCCTTCTCTGCTAATGGATAATTCTGTTCAGCACCCTGTAAAACTTTGCTCACATAGCAGATGGGCCTCTGATTCTTATTCTCCTCCCTCAGTAGAACTGAACTCACTGCTTCTTCTGTGACCCCTAGATACAGATATAAACATTCCCCATTGACAGGTTTGGACAGCATGGGTGCTGATGCCAGATATTGTTTGAGCTCATCAAACGCCCGTTGACATTCATCGGTCCACTGGAAGTTTTTAGGCTCTCTTAGAGCTTTAAAGCATGGGAGGCACCTTTCAGCCGACCTGGCTATAAACCTGTGCAATGCGGCTACACGACCTGTCAAACGCTATACATCTTTTACAGTCTTGGGAGGCTCCATCTGCTGAACGGCCTGGACCTTCTCTGGATTCACTTCAATTTCTTTCTTGGATACCACGTATCCTAGGAATTTCCCTGATTCCACAGCAAACGTGCATTTGAAAGGATTCAGCTTCATTTGGGCTCGGCGCAGGTTTTGAAAAGTTTCATCCAGGTCGCCTATGTGATCCTCAGCTCGCACACTGGTGACTATCATGTCATCCACATATACGTCTATGTTTCTGCCGATCTGGAGCTTGAAGATGATTTGCACCAGCTTCTGGTATGTTGCTCCAGCATTTTTGAGGCCAAACGGTATCATGACATAGCAGTAGATTGCGTCACCAGCGTAAAAAGCTGTCTTCTCCTGGTCGTTCAATAGCAACTGAACCTGGTGATAGCCCGAGCTGGCGTCAAGAAAACTCATCCGTTCATGCCCAGCTGCCCGCTCTACTAATTTTTCCACATTGGGCAAGGGATGAGGGTCTTTTGGACACGCCTCATTCAAGTTGGTGAAATCAATGCACATCCTCCACTTGCCATTTGGTTTTTTCACGAGCACGGGATTGGACACCCACTTAGAGTACTCCACTCTTTTGATGAAGCCTGCCTGTAGCAACTTTTGTATCTCTTCATCTATGGCAGCTTGCTTCTCGGGGCTAAAAAGGCGGCGTTTTTGCACCACCGGCCTTCTGGTGGGGTCCGTGCTATACTTGTGGACTGTCAACTCCGCTGGGATGCCAGGCATTTTGTCCGTAGTCCATGCAAACACATCCTGATTACTCCTCAAAAACTCTATAAGCTCTGCACGCTCCTCTTCTGTGAGCTTAGTGCCGATCTTAACCGTCCTTTCTGGCACATCTGAGTTTAGAGGAACTGTTTCTACTGGCTCCACTGGCTCTGCTTTCTGCTTGACATCCTCAGGTCGGTGCTCGATATCTGATATGCTCATCGTCTGCTGACCGAGCTAGGTTGGTCTGCGATTTTCGTAGCCCAAAGGGGTAGCAGCGAGCTCAACCTTTTTGAAAGTATCTTGATAGCAGGTTCTGGCCATCTTTTGATTTCCTTTAAGCACTCATACCCCCTGAGGAGTTGGGAATTTCATGCAGAGATGGTGTTGCGAGACAACAGCCTTCAGCTCGCACAGGGTGGCTCTTCCTAAGATAGCATTGAAAACTGATTCCATCTTAACGACCAGGAAGGTGACGAAAGCCATCCTGAAGAGTGGTTCTGAGCCCACATATATAGGAAGAGTGATAACTCCCTCGACCGGGACGGGCTGGTTATCAAACCCGTATATTGGCCCTTCATGCTTCTGCAGCGAGCTCGGATTTAGCTGCATCTTCTGGAAGCAACTCCAATACAGGATATCTGGTGAACTGCTAGTGTCAATAAACACCTTATTGACATTATGATTGCCTATATGAACTGTTACCATAAAGGGATCTGCATGGGGCATCATAATGTCAGGCTCTCCTTCTGCTCGCTTGTAATCTGCCGGGCTGAATGTGATAGGCGTATTCTCCCATTCTGCTTCCTCAAACGGTCGCTTCAAAGGTCGATTTTTGTTGATAGTCATCACCTGCCGGGCATATGCCTTGCGGGCTCGGGCACTTTGGCCCCCAGAGTGAACACCGCCTGATATCATGTTTATTGTACTCGAGGGCGGGGGTATCCCAGCATAGCCTCCCCCTTTCTTATCTTTTTGGTTCTGGGCAGCAGCTCTCTGCCCTTGTCCTCTCCTGTTGAACGGACGCCCTCTGTACGCCCTGCCCTGCTCTGAAGGATATTGATTGTCCTGATATACATCCTGTGCCCTGCCGAGCTGGTACCTCTGCCCCTGAGGTCGGCCATACCCCTGTACAAAATGAATTTGAGTGGGTTGCTGGGCGTGGGGTTTCTGAACATATCCTTCTAGTTTCCCATTGCGAGCTAGGAACTCCAGCTCGTCCTTCAGATGTTGGCAATCTTCTGTGTTGTGACCATAAGTACGATGATAGTCACAATGCTTGCTCTTGTCCGCCCTTGGGAACTCATACAGTGGGGGTGGGGGTCTTCTAACCCAGTGTTATATTTGCGCAAGGATTTGAGACTTGGGCAAGGTTAAAGGAATGTAGTTGGCATACTTGGGGAAGTCAGCGGGCTTCCCCCACTGCTCGCTGACTTTCTGTTTCTTCTTCTCTTCCCTTCTCGGTGGCTATTCCTGGCTTTTGCTCTGCTTATCGTCAGCTCGTCGCTTGGACGACTGGAAGTCTTCTGATAATATGAAGCTAGCCGACCTGTCATTCACTTCGTTCCAAGTCTTCGGTGGGTTTTCTAGGAGGTCGTCTAGGAACCGGCCACGCTTCAAACCATGTAGCAAGGCGGACAGGCAGATGGTGTCTGGGACGTTATCAATGTCCAAAGTGGCTTTGTTGAATCGCTGCATGTAGTCCTTTAGAGATTACCCTTCCTTTTGATTAACTTGCATCAGCTCGGTTGCTGTGCGTTTGATCTCTCTCTGGCTCGCGAATTTGTTGGAGAATAACTTGGCGAGCTGGGAGTATGAGTCTATAGAATGTCTGGGGAGCTTGTGATACCATCTCCTGGCTGCTGATTTCAGTGTCGCTCGGAACACTTTGCACATCATGGCATCATTGGCATTTTGGATCCTCATGATGGCTTGATAGGTGTGCAGATGTTCATCTGGTTCACCCGAGCCATCATACGTCTCCAGGTGGGGAATTTTGAATCCCTCTTGATATCGTTCTGCTGTGATGGATAAGTTCAATGGAGCACTATCCAAATCAAGGGTTTGTTGGTGCAACTTGGGACTTTTCAGCTCGTCAATGGACTTCTGTACGTCCCGCAGCTGCCTTTCCAGGTCTGCGTTCTTTCTCATCAATTCTTCACTATGCTTGGACGAGCTGGGTTCGTTATTCAACTTCCCACTTCCCCTTGGCCTGGTCGGCACCACTATGTTGCTTAGAGCGGGGGAGTTTCGAGTGGCAACAACCGCAGCTGGTTGTGCATCCCTGTTCAGCAAAGGAATCAGGGGGTCATCAGGAATTAGACGGGCAAGGATTTTACCCATTGCCATTTCGAGAACTCTGGTTCTCTCTTCGAGCTCGGTTGTCCGAGCAGGTTCTGTTGACCTTTCAGGTCGTTCATGCTGTGAATTGTGTGGTCTAGAAGGTCTTTGTCTTGTTCCTGTTGGAACTTGGAACTGTTCAGGCCGGGTTGCATACCCAGTTGGTGTTCTTTCGTCATCTGTTTCACTGAGGTGATCCTGTTCGACTCCCCCAACGAAGAGGTTTCTTGGCATTGGCCTAAAGTCATTCAAACCGGGCTCAGACAGTTGAGTGTCCTCCTGTTCGTCTACTTCATTTCTTGGGGGGCGACCTCTTGTGAAAGTCCGAACCATTTTGTCTTTCAGCAGGTTAAGCTACACAACTTTTTGTTCAAGGTTTCCCACAGACGGCGCCAAATGTTTGGGCAGTTTCGTGGTCCCACACTGTTGAAATCTTTAGCTGCTTCTACACCTGAAAATCCCGATGTTGTTTTTTCGGGGAAAACACTCCGACGCTCAAGTTAGCAATACTCAATATTCTAGAGAGAGATGCTCTCAAGGAGTAATTGCAGAGAGAGAGGCGTAGAGATTAATTACCTTCATCAGAGGTAGTTGGGGGGTATTTATAGCCCCTTGGTGCTGACATACATCTGCATGTGTGAGCACGTCATTGGCTCATGTGGCACTGGTCACGTGGGTATGCTTGTACTGATGCTTGTACTGATGCTCCTTCAGCTTGGGCTAATGGATGGTAACCTAGACCCGTTATACACAGCCCTATTTGGGTGTTGGGCCTGTTGGACCTATGCACAGTCATGTTTGGGTGTTGGGCCTATTCCAACGGATATTATTTGGGAACTCTCGACAGGAGGAGAAAACACGCCTAAAGAAAAGTGCAGGTTGTAGTCAAGATTCTAGGGATTCAGCAGCCGTCATGAGACCCAATCAATCCCCACTGGCAACTTCGTCTCCGGCTAATCGGAACCGCCAGCGTAGGCGCCCAGACCTCACCTTACCGCTTCCCCAAAGGGACCCATCTCTGGCCGTACCTCTGCCCCTACCTCCCTCAGCTCCACCACAGCAGATCTGCTTTTCGGAGCTCGATAAAATCAACCGAATCGGTAGCGGCAGCGTAGGCACTGTCTACAAGGTCATCCATTGGCCCACGTCCCAAGTTTACGCCCTCAAGGTGATCTATGGGACTCACGACGAGTCGGTTCGCCGTCTGATCTGCCGAGAGATCGAGATTCTCCGCGACGTGGACCATCCGAACGTGGTGAAATGCCATGACATGTTTGATCACAACGGCGAAATACAAGTTTTGCTGGAGTTCATGGACCGTGGATCCCTGGAGGGTCAGCAAATCCACCACGAGCCTTCTTTGGCGGATCTGGCCCGCCAGATTCTCAGCGGTCTCAACTACCTCCACCGCCGACACATCGTACACCGGGACATCAAGCCCTCCAATCTCCTAATCAATACCAAGAATAAGGTCAAGATCGCGGACTTCGGGGTTGGTAGGATTCTTTCGCAAACAATGGACAATTGCAATTCATCGGTGCGGACAATAGCGTACATGAGCCCTGAGAGAATCAACACGGATTTGAACCACGGGCAGTATGATGGATACGCTGGAGATATATGGAGCTTGGGAGTGAGCATATTGGAGTTCTACTTGGGAAGATTCCCGTTTGCAGTGGGTCGGCAGGGGGATTGGGCAAGCCTCATGTGTGCCATATGTCTGTGTCAGCCTCCGGAGGCACCCGGCTCGGCCTCCGCTGAGTTTAGAAATTTCATCTCCTGTTGCTTACAGAGGGAACCGGCCAAAAGGTGGACGGCAACACAATTGTTACAGCATCCTTTCATTGAGAGGGGACAGCAGACCCAGAATCAGGTCACGCAAAATCTTCATCAATTACTACCTCCTCCTCGCCCTCTCCATTCTTAGTTGCTTTTTCTTTTGAAAAAATTTCTGTAATTCTTGCTGATATAATTGGCTGGATTTTTTTTTTTTGGTTTAAGGGAGAATCAGGGTTATGCTTCTGTTTTCCTTTGAAGAGCTGTTATGTTTCAATCAACCCACCTCTATTCTCCTTGCATTTGACAATGATAAATCTTTACATTATTAGCAATGAAAAAGAAAAAAAAAAAAAGAAAAAGAATTGGCTGTCATGGGTGCTGTGCTCTGAGAAATTGGAAACCGGCAAATTAACCCTTTTGGTTAAAATTTGAAGTCACAAGAAGTCTGTATCCTAGATTTTTGTCGTGATTATAATAAGAATGTATTGATATTCCTTTCTGTCTATTATAGTTCGAATTATCTGGATACTAAAGGAGCAAATTATAGCTTCAAATGGTTAAAGGCCCACTACAACTCAAGACTTTAACAAAGTCTTAGATGGGCAAGAATTTAGGATATATATATATATAT